TTGTTTGAGGCCAAGTCTACATTTCTTGTCGGGATAGTAAGAATAAATTTATCAATGCAGGAGCAGAGCAACCATGATGAGGAGGCCGAATCTACATTGATATCATTGATCGTAAAGGATTTACAAGCATCACCAACACATAATACAAGATGTATAGAACAAATAGATGACAGTGATTGCAGCTAGCCTTTGGCACATCGTGTTGTTGCATGCGTGCTCTAAAATGTGTCACGAAATTTTTAATCTTCTTTCCAGTGACTTTTTTTCTTCTTCATCCTAAGGATTTTCCTTTTTCTTTTTATGACGGGGCAATATGAGTTAGATGCTATAAAGTACGCACACAGGTAACAATTCCTAAGTGTAAAATACATGCATCTGGTATCCCCAATATAGAAATGAGATGAAATAATCTGTTGAAAAAAGGCCCCTGTATGCCATTGAATTCAAAGGCAAACTGTGGTAATTGATACTGAATAGGAGTGCCGTAGATTTATAGTTCCTCAAGTTCTCTTTTCCAGTACATTACATGCTAGGTAAAATGAACACATAAAGAGGGGCTATATGAAGTAGATTACTTACAAATATTTAATTTGCCTCACTTGACTCCATTAATCCACCCAGGACCCCCACATTGTCTAAATGACAACTGGGACATATGCATCTCCTCTGCAACTTCTCACCAACGGTAGCACAAATCTGTTCCAATTCAGAAGTCTGCTTGTTTCCAGTCAAAGCCAAAACTTATGTAGATCATGCCCACAAAATATGGTACTTAGAGAAAAAGAAAGAAAACCACAAAAACCAACATAGCTATTGAATTCTCTATTCTTCTTTTCTTTTCTGTTGTTTTACAGAACATGAAATTTCTTTTAGTTGCCGAGAAAACCGGAAAAAGAACCTTCAAAATGTCAACAACCATTTAATGACTATTAGTTGCAAATGTCCAAATGTTCCTTTTCTTTTTCTACATTTACTTATAACTAAAACAGGCATTCACTTTATGAAGAAAGCTGGCCAAGAAGCTTGTACAAATAGCTCATGCGGATTGGACTGCATTCAATTAAGGCAGTTTTGCAAATGATGAAAAATTCAAGCAATCAACTGTTATGCAGTGCATTGACTGTGCTTATGAATTGTTCATATCCGTGGAACTACTTTAAACTCATTCAACCATGATCCATCACTAATGACCATATGAGATGGGCAATTTTCTTTGCATTCTAACTTTCTACATGTTCCAGAGGAACAATATATAATGTGCTTAACCATTGATTAAGTTCAGTAACCAATGCAATCTTGAAAAGGATATCTTGTCAAGTCCTGCAATGCTTTTGTTGCTCGTAACATCTCCTCCATCAAGAATACCTTCCTTTCACAATCAATCAGCGCCTGCTGGACCTGCAGAAGCAGAAGTTCCAGATAATTCAGTCATTTTCATGTTGCTTTCCTGGGAAATACTAACATGAACACTAAAACTATGCGTTTAGAAAATTGTAATGTTAGCCATTGGGAATGTTTCAATGACCGATTTCCTACCTGCTTTTCAATGTTCTGTTCTGATTTGTATTCTTCTTCCACTTCGGTTGTCTGAGATATTACACCAGCAAGCATATCTTCAAGTGTACTTAAAGCACCTTCAGTAACCTCCTCCTTCACTAATTTGGGATCTTCTTCTGAAACAAAATTGCAATGTTCTTTTAGTTTCTACCCAAGCTACATTATGCGATCATTTTGCTCCTCTTTTGAGAAAGATCTATATTGAAGACTTAAAGAGAGATGTAGGAGTTAATAATGACTAGAAGATACGACAAATGAAAATAAAATAAGATGGAACAGCACATGTTCAGAGATCTATACTGTATATAGATTAATGGATAAGCGTACACAAGCCTTCACCTTCTGTACTTCCATTGTACAAGAGCTCATAAATTTTTCGAGCAATTGACTCTTGGAACTTCCTGCATTCAAATTTTTTAACGAGTATGATAGTAACTTAGTAACTGCAGGAAGGCACTAAACATTTTTGAAATAGCACTCACAGCAATCATGTGAAATTTGTCTATAAATGGGGCATACAAATACGCCATGTATTCCAAAATGCTCTGAGAACTTGTTACAAGTACTATTTTTCTTTTCAAATGAGGCTAACCTTATCTGAGTGTTGATCTCAAACATTTGGCTTATAAACTCATCTCTGCATAGACAATTATGGCAAATAATTTAAAGGCAAGCAATTAGAATTTTTTTAAATTAAAAAATTGAAAATAATTAACAAACGATTGAGATGAAAATTTCGTACCGCGAAGCCCCTTTTTTGTTCTTTTCCAAGGTCCAAGCAAAAATAACATAAAATGAGGATCAGTAGACAAATATTTAATTAAATTACTAGAAACAGAAAGTAAAAATACCTTAAGAGCATCCAAATCCGATCCGACTGTGGAAATCTCGTCTTGAGTCAGAGAAATCCTTGACTGAATTGAAGATTCGATTAAAGCCTAATCAAATTAAGAACAAAATCATTGTGCAAAAATAACAAACCTCTAGCGTTTGAATCGTAGCTTCATTCATAGCCAATTCAACTTCGTATCCTTTAAGATCTTGCTCAGTAGTTTCCTTGCTGCGCTTGGCTTCCTCGAGCTCTGCATTTGAAACCTCTAGCTCAGATCGGAGCTCTTCAATTCGCTTCCTCAGACCTACCACTCTTCGCTCTGCATATCTCAAAGCATGTGTATCCAAAGTTTTCCAGTTCAAATTTCAGCGAAATTCAAAAAATGCGAAGAAAAAATTATTCGTTTAATTTCCAATAAAACCTAGCGGGAACAGAATTGAACTTAATTAGCGAGCTCATAGTACATAATTATTAGTGCCTATTTCTACGTTTCTCGGGAAAATGATTTTTTTTTCTTTTTCCTTTTCATCTACATTTTCTCGGGAACCAAACAGATAAGCGAATGCAAAATAGTAAAAGGTGTGTAGGGACTGTACCTCCGTGCGACTTCTCGGAGGCGACATCGTGAATTAAGTTGAAGAGGTGCTTCCGTGGGTCATTTCCCGCCATGGCTGTGTGCTTCTGTTTCGCGCACTTGATCAACGAGGGCTTCCGTGGGTCACTTTTTCTATATGAGATAGACAATCATAATGATCATTCAAGCCCAGGACAAGACACACTTTATTTTCTTTAGCCCGGTACTGGGCCCATTTTCTTTTTCTTCAGCCCAAGATTAGGCCCACTTATTTTTCTTTAGCTTCTTTCCTTCGCCTTTGCGTGGTTCGATTCCTCCCTTCCTGATATCGCTTCGGTTATATAAAAACAAAAACAAAAGCTTGTATCTTTAAGAAAAAGAGAAACATGATAGAACTAACACAAATGCATATTGCATTGTCTTACTTTCAATGATTTTGGACTTTCTATATTCAAAAAGAAAAAAAGAGAAAAAAAGTGTGAAAGTATATTATTTGAAATGATCTCATGAGTGACATAAGATAAGAACTTAATTTTACGACTGTTTATACATGTAAACTCAACTCCATCAATATTATAGCCACTCTTTCCCTCTGTGAGTCCTAAAGAAAAATTCCATAGAGGGGGAAGGAGGAAGAAGCGTCACTGCACCTCCTCCCCCTCCTCTCTTCACATCTTTTCCTTTAAGGTTAATGAATAAGTCCACTGAGAAGTTTTGAATAAAAAGCCCATTGTGGTGATTTCTTTTAAGTTGTGGTTAGATTGAAGTTCTCAATCACCTATTTTAGTTTATGTTCTCAATCAAATCATACTCCCAAAATCCGCTCCCTAACGCCATTTATGTTCTCTAAATTTGATTCTACATCGTCTTTGACGGAGGTGGCTGCAAATCACCCAATCGTTCTTTGTCAAAGTTGTTGTTTTCGTTTATTTGTTCGCTCTTATGCGCAAGTAGATCGCTGAAAATCATATTTTTCCCCATATCTGTTACGGATGCGATAGTTGGTGTGGTTGCGACAGCGCTTTTTCAAGTGGTGGTAGTAGGGTTCATTTAGACTCATGGGTTGTTTTAGGGTTAGTTATGTTAGATTTGTGGGCTTTGTTTGGGCTTATGGCTAATTGTGATTATGTGGGCTAGTAGTAGTAAGGCTTTTGTCCGTGTTAGTTTTGCTTTTAGCATGTTAGTTTGTTATCCTCTTGGAATTGATATTTTAGATATCTTGTTGATGTCTTTGATTGTATTGTTAAAGTTTATCTAATAAAGTTTCTATTTGATTATTTAAAAAACACTTAGTTTTAATAAAGTATAAAATTGATGCCTACAATATTTTTTAGGGAGGGAAATTAAGATGCAGTTATTATTATTGGAGATGCGTGATTAAAAAGAGTTTAGTTGGTAGCGCACAATGAGTTTTCTGTTGTAACTTTGTTCGGTTCCATCTCCACTATTACCCCTTGTGGATATTTTTGACTTTGCATAAACTTTGCTATATAAATAGTAAATACACTAGAATAAATTCGAAACTGGATACCATAAAAGGGGATTTAAATTATGGGATATTAATTTAAATTGAAGAAATAGGTAATATCTTCATGGGCATACGTTAAGGTAATAGGGAAAAGTAAGGTAAGGGCACAACAAGGCAAGGTCAAACATAGGGCACAAAAGTGTATCATGCCAAAATGAGAATTTTCAGATATGTATTCTTCTCCAATATGGAGGTATAAAGAAGTACAAAGATATGTTAACCCTACAAAAAGATAAAAATAGGAAATAAATCTCAATTATAATATGACTAAATAAATGGGTAAGTAACCACAATCCTAAATAAATAAGGACTCACCAACACAACCAAAATCAGGGATAGAATTCCCAGGAACTAACCATTTGAAGAAATCACATCACATAAATCATAAAAACTAATGGCCCAACCAAAATCATAGAAATCCCAAAGATAAAGAGACAGATATCGAGCAAAGAGAAAAGGGAGAGAGATCGAAAAGAGAGAAAATATGAGGATAGATTGAGAACTGACAAAGAATAAAGACAAGAGGGGAGAAGAGTAAGAGATACAGTTTTTAGTTTTCATTATTTGTGCTAGAGTATATAGGAAAATGAGAGTGAGAATATGAGTGAGGATGAGAGAGAGGAGTAACAAAGTTTTTAGTTTTTGTTTTCACTTTTGTTACTCATCTTTCTCATCCTCCCATCTCATCTTCCCTATCAATCTCATTTTCACTCTCATTCTCACTTCAATTCTCCTTTTTTTCCTCTATACTCTAGCACAAAAAATAAAAACTAAAAATTAGCATTAAAATGATTATCAAAAGCCCTACTTTTAGCACTTAATGTTGGAATTGATAAATAAAAAAAGGAGCTGATTTTCTCACTCATATTTTGTCCACTTATACTCCCTAATATGTTATAACAAAAAGTATTAAAAAACAAAAATGAGTGTAAGTGGACAAAAATGGAGCAGGAAAATCAAAACCCATAAAAAAAAAGTTAGCAATCAATTGCTTCACTCATTGTCTACTTTACTCTTTGAGGATAAATTTAAGGCTTATTTACTGTAGCACCCCCTGAAACTTCGGTCAAATCTCACTTTACCCCCCCAAAGTTAAAATGACCCACTTAACCCCCTTGACCGTGGTTTTGTGTTCCACTTTACTCCCTACCGTTATCTCCGTTAATAACTCTGTCAGTTTTGATGACGTGGCATGGCTATTTTAGACTTTTTACAACAAGTGATGATGTGTCATATAAAGGGCCCACTTTTTCTGCTTAAGTGGAATAAAATATATTATATAATAATATAATTACTTGTTTAGTTAAAAAATATATAAAAATTGAAAAAATTAATACATAAAAATCTTCTTCTCCATCTCTCTCCCTTGAACTCTCCCTCCCCTAACTTCATAACCCAAAGCCACCCTCACCATCACATGGTCGAGACTGACTTTCCACCATCGCCACCGCCAAAACAACAACGCCTCCAAATGACGCCGGCGAAACCGAAAGTGTTGGGCCGACGAGGATCTGTTTGGTTTTGGAGTTCTGAGGGTCTGTTTGGTCGAAGAGGGTCTGTTACAATTTGTTTTATGTCACTACTACTTAAATAACAAAATTAAATTAAAAAGAAAAAAACCAACCAACAGAAAATAATCAAAGCTCCAACCTCTCCACGCACCCCCAGCCACCTCCTCACCCATCCACAGCCCGATCCCTCTACCAGCCACCTCCTCGCCGATTAGCCCAGACAATGGGCAAGTATTCTGTCATTAACCCCAACAAGGGCTTTCCTATACTTGATCTCAGTGGAGAAGTTCTCCTTATTCAAAAACCCTTGGGATGACTCGTTGTAGAGAAAATAGGGTTTGGGTGTTGCCCAAATAGTGAAGAAATTGGGTTTGGGTTTCGAGTTGGACCGATTGGGTCTGGGTGCAGAGGAGGCTTTCTTCTTCCTTCATTCTTGGAAGTGGTTGTTTTGTTTGCCCTGCTTCTTGGCTGGTGTGGCGA